TGAGCCTGTCATGTTAAATGATACAAATTTGGTATGCCAGTGCGGTTCGTGGGAAAAGGCTTAGTTATGGTCATCAGTGTGGGTCACATGAAATACACATTTGTCAAGTGGTAAGCTGTCGAACGTAGCAGCAAACCATGAATGCAAAGTTCGTAACTGTTGTGGGGTGAAGGGGTACTCACGTTACCGACGTATCTCGCGGCACGAATGCGATGCCGTAAAGCCTCAGCGGGAGCGGGATGTGGCAGGTTGGTTTGTGGCAGGCTGACTGGATCATTGGCCGGGATGAGTGACTTCTGTGAGCCTGGAAGGTGCGGTTGGCTGTGGGTATGGGGCGACAGTCTCCCGGGATTAGGTGGTACCAACGCTGAGGCGTTGAACGCAAATGAGTCTGGATCTGTGTCGGCCCTGAGTAGAGGTCTCTCTGGGTATAAATAGGACGGGTAACCCCTCCCACAACTCCAGGCTCCACCTTAACATATACAGTCACAACAATAGACAATCACAGTCTGCTTAAACTAATAACACACAAAGAATGAAATGTTGCCATGTTTTTATTGAACACACTATGTAAACATTCACAGTGCAGGTGGAAAAAGTATGTGAACCCCTAGACTAATGACATCTCCAAGAGCTAATTAGAGTGAGATGTCAGCCAACTGGAGTCCAATCAATGAGATGAGATTGGAGGTGTTGGTTACAGCTGCCCTGTCCTATAAAAAACACACACCAGTTCTGGGTTTGCTTTTCACAAGAAGCATTGCCTGATGTGAATGATGCCTTGCACAAAAGAGCTCTCAGAAGACCTACAATTAAGAATTGTTGACGTGCATAAAGCTGGAAAGGGTTATAAAAGTATCTCCAAAAGCCTTGCTGTTCATCAGTCCACGGTAAGACAATTGTCTATAAATGGAGAAAGTTCAGCACTGCTACTACTCTCCCTAGGAGTGGCCGTCCTGTAAAGACTGTAAGAGCACAGCGCAGACTGCTCAATGAGGTGAAGAAGAATCCTAGAGTGTCAGACTTACAAAAGTCACTGGCAAATGCTAACAATACATAAAACACTAAACAAGAATGGATTTCATGGGAGGATACAACAGAGGAAGCCACTGCTGTCCAAAAATAACATTGCTGCAAGTTTACAGTTTGCACAAGAGCACCTGGATGTTCCACAGCAGTACTGGCAAAATATTCTGTGGACAGATGAAACCAAAGTTGAGTTGTTTGGAAGAAACACACAACACTATATGTGGCGAAAAAAAGGCACAGCACACCAACATCAAAACCTCATCCCAACTGTGAAGTATGGTGGTGGGGGCATCATGGTTTGGGGCTGCTTTGCTGCGTCAGGGCCTGGACGGATTGCTATCATCGAAGGAAAAATGAATTCCCAAGTTTATCAAGACATTTTGCAGGAGAACTTAAGGCCATCTGTCTACCAGCTGAAGCTCAACAAAAGATGGGTGTTGCAACAGGACAATGACCCAAAGCATAGAAGTAAATCAACAACAGAATGGCTTAAACAGAAGAAAATACTCCTTCTGAAGTGGCCCAGTCAGAGTCCTGACCTCAACCCGATTGAGATGCTGTGGCATGACCTCAAGAAAGCGATTCAAACGAGACATCCCAAGAATATTGCTGAACTGAAACAGTTCTGTAAAGAGGAATGGTCAAGAATTACTCCTGACCGTTGTGCACGTCTGATCTGCAACTACAGGAAACGTTTGGTTGAAGTTATTGCTGCCAAAGGAGGTTCAACCAGTTATTAAATCCAAGGGTTCACATACTTTTTCCACCTGCACTGTGAATGTTTACATGGTGTGTTCAATAAAAACATGGCAACATTTCATTCTTTGTGTGTTATTAGTTTAAGCAGACTGTGATTGTCTATTGTTGTGACTTAGATGATGATCAGATCACATTTTATGACCAATTGGTGCAGAAATCCATATCATTCCAAAGGGTTCACATGCTTTTTCTTGCAACTGTGTATATATATATATATATATATATATATATATATATATATTGCCATGAATTTTGTTTGTGTAATATAGGATCATTGATCTGGCTGCATATACACATTGGGGCTTTCTATTATAGTATACTTGTCACCCTTAGATTGAACTCAGCATACCATCTGCAGGAGTGCACATTTAGATGTACTTATGTTCCTTGGTCACTTTGTGTGTTCACTTAGATACCTTAGTTATTCACTCACTTAGGCACACTTTTGTTTGCACTTCATCTAAATCTTGTACCCTCTGATTTGGTTATCTGGTATATTATTTGTAAATATCGTACATTATCCTCCATATACATTATTCCTTAATGTATTTTAGCACACCACACATTCTTTCACATGGTGCTTCATTCACTACTCGATTTATCTTTGCATCTTTTGTATAGCCGGTTACACTGAGAAGAACGTACAGAGTTTGTATACACGTTGCCCAGCAACGCCGTTCATCTGCACGTCATCACGTTTGTCACGTGGTCTTTTGGTGCACTCCTGGGTTTCGGACAGCTGGCGGTTTTCTCATGCACTGATTTGGTAAGTTGTTGTTGTTATTAATATTTTTCTATATATACTTACCTCTTACACTGTATAACTGATCTTGAAAAAGACCCTATAGGGGTCGAAACGTAGATCAAGGATTTATTCTGCACATGTCATTTGCACCAGTAAATAAACGAACCTTTGAATCAAGACCTGTGAGTGCACCTTTCATCTATTTTTTGTTTTATATTTATGCTGAGGTTTGCACCCAGACGAGAAAAAAACTTTTTTTACTTAAATAGTGTGAGTGCCAAGATTACTCACTCTCTCTCTCTCTCTCTCTCTCTCTCTCTATATATATATATATATATAAATATGTAATATTTTTGTTGATGTTGATATATTAATTTTTTTTTTATATATATGATATAGCTTATCCAACAATATTAAATTGAGCCCATTTAGGATTACTGCGACATTATTGAAGAATTTATTTTTGGAAGAGTTTTGAGGGCATTTAATTACATCACACAATTCAATGCCACTATTTATGCACTATATAACTATTACATAATATAGTCATTTGAGTCTGGTCTATGTTACATCCGTATTATATCACAACAAAGCAAAACGTTTCTAGAAACCTGGGGAACAATAGAAAGCAGGAAACGACTAGTTCATAAAATAAAAGTGTATATAGTGCTGTCAGCCTCATTAAAGGAACACTCCAAGCACCATAACCACTACCAACGTAGGTAGTCAACTAGGGATGTGCATGGACAAAAAATTTGGTTCGGTTCGACACTTCCCAAATTCTGGACTTCGGCAATTTGGCACTTCGGTTTGGTTTGCCACTTCAGAAAATCAGGACTTCGGCGGTTCGGCACTTCCGAAATTCAGGACTTCGGGAATTCTGGACTTTGGCATTTCCATAACCTTAACCCTACCCCAACCCTACCCTTAACCCTACCGCTAAACTAACCCTAACCCTTACCCTTACCCTATCCCTAACCTTAACCCTACTTGGGGTTGGGGAAGGGGTAGGGTGAAGGTTGGGGTAGGTTTAAGGGGTAGGGTTAGATTCCTGTCATCAATCCCTTAATTTTCCCTCCCTCTCCTGTTTTGCAACTTTTCAGAAATCCAAAGCACTTCCGAAATTCGGCACTTCGGCGGTTCAGTTCTGCACTTCGGCAATCTTTTGTATAGCCGGTTACACTTCCGAAATTCGACAATTTGGACATTCGGAAGCATCAGAATGTCTGAATTACCAAAACTTGTCCGAATTTAAATTCGGACCGAAACGAATTGCACATGTCTAAATCAAACCTTTCGTTCAGGGCTGTCTTTAACACGGGGCAAACGGGGCAGCTGCCCCGGGCCTAGTTGCTCCTGAGGGGCCCCAGAGCAGCTGCCTCGTGGCCCCGTGATTTGAGCAGCCCCCATGGACCTGGCGGGGCGGCTGCACAGAGCCACACCAGCCGCACTCTAAGGAGGCCCCCGGGTGACCCATGCACTAAGGGCCACCCGGTGGGCATGTGTCAGCAGGGGCCCGGTCGGGCGTTGTGACACTTAAACAGCGCGACTGGGCCCCTTCCTGTTCGGCAGCCGGCTGGGAGGAAGTGAGTGCCGCGCGTCACTTCCTCCCACCGGAGATCACAACCGCACGGGAGGAGAAAGGCAGGGAGGAGAGGAGTTCCAGAGGAGAACTCCCATCTGCCTCAGCCTGCCACTGGACCAGGGAAACCACCCTCCAGAAAAAGGTAGGAAACTGGAGGGTGGCTAAATGTATGTCTGTGTGCATGTCAGTATGTCTGTGTGTGTGTGTCAGTATGTGTGTATGTATGTCTGTGAGTGTCAGTATGTCTCTGTGTGTCTATGTCTGTCTGTGTGCATGTCTGTGTGTGTGTATGTCAGTATGTCTGTGTGTCACTAAGTCTGTGTGTGTGTCTATGTCTGTCTGTGTGTGTGTGTGTATGTCTGTGTGTGTGTGTGTGTGTGTATGTCAGTATGTCTGTGTGTGTGTGTGTCAGTATGTCTGTGTGTATGTCTGTGTGTGTCTGTATATGTCAGTATGCCTGTGTGTGTGTTTGTCAGTATGTCTGTGTGTGTCAGTATGTCTGTGTGTGTCAGTATGTCTGCCTGTGTGTGTGTGTCAGTATGTCTGTGTGTCAGTATGTCTGTGTGTTTGTCAGTATGTCTGCATGTGTGTCTATGTCAGTATGCCTGTGTGTGTGTCAATAGGTCTGTCAGTGTATGCGTCTGTGTGTGTCAGTATATTTGTCAGTTTATGTGTCTGTGTATTCATGAATGTATGTCTGTGTGTGTGTCAGTATGTCTGTGTGTGTGTGTCAGTATGTGTGTATGTATGTCTGTGAGTGTCAGTATGTCTCTGTGTGTCTATGTCTGTCTGTGTGTGTGTGTATGTCAGTATGTCTGTGTGTCACTAAGTCTGTGTGTGTGTCTATGTATGTCTGTGTGTGTATGTCTCTATGTGTGTGTGTATGTCAGTATGTCTGTGTGTATGTCTGTGTGTGTGTCTGTGTATGTCAGTATGCCTGTGTGTGTGTTTGTCAGTATGTCTGTGTGTGTGTCAGTATGTCTGTGTGTCTGTGTGTGTGTCAGTATGTCTGTGTGTGTCAGTATGTCTGCCTGTGTGTGTGTCAGTATGTCTGTGTGTCAGTATGTCTGTGTGTTTGTCAGTATGTCTGCCTGTGTGTCTGTGTCAGTATGCCCGTGTGTGTGTCAATAGGTCTGTCAGTGTATGCATCTGTGTGTGTCAGTATATTTGTCAGTTTATGTGTCTGTGTATTCATGAATGTGTGTCTGTGTGTGTGTCAGTATGTCTGAATGTGTGTCAATATGTCTGCCAGTATATTATTGTGTGTCAGTGTATGTGTATGTCAGTATGTATCTGAGAATGTTTTAATATGTCTGTCTGTGTGAGATGTGTCAGTATGTCTGTCAGTGTGATTGCGGGTTGGGTGTAATTAGGGGGATCGGGGGAAGGAGCAGGTCCAAGAAAATGCATTGCCCAGGGTCCTAATCATATTATAGACGGCCCTGCTTTCGCTAATAGTATGACTTCTTACCTACTATAAACCTCTCTGAAAGTCAGACACTCTCTGTCTGAGCTAAGCCCGGCAGTGCAAGCTTAGCTCATTGGCCGAGTGTGATCAACTGACACTGTAGTGCACTTCTCTCCAGGGGTGAGAGCCAGGGGGTCAGGCTTATGGCTACAGATATTTTTGTCAATCAGAGCAGTTGTAAGCCTATCTCAGCAGGGTATTCTCTGCATAACCTTCATAACCCTCATGCACAAACACACTAAATCCCTCAAACACACTGCAACCTTCACACACATATTGCACCTCTCACATGCATTGCACTCCTCACACACACATTGCCCCTCACAAACACACATACTGCACCCATGGCAAGCACACACATTGCTTCCCTCACACACACAGTGCACCCCTGACACACACATGGAACCTCTCACACACACATTGCACCCCTCACACACATTGCATTATTCATACACACACACTGCACTCCTCATGCACACATGGGACCACACACACACACACACTGCACCCCTCACACATATTACATTCCTCACAAACACACACCGCACCCCTCACATACACACCTCACAAACACACATGGCACTCATCACAAACACACTGCACCCCTTACACACATTGCATCCCACACACACATTGCACCCCTCATACACACTGCAACCCTCATATACACACACACACTGCACCCCTGACACACATTTCAACCTTCACACACATTTCAACCCTCAAACACACTGCACCCTTCACACATACATTGCAAACCTTTTACATACACTACACCCCTCATGCACACACTGCAACCCTCACACAGACTGCATCCCTCACACACACACACTGCACCCCTCACACACATTAAACTCCTCACACACATTGCACCCCTCAAACACACACACTGCACTCCTCACACACACTTCAACCCTCACATATACACTTCACCCCTCACTCACACACACTTCAACCCTCACACATACACTTCACCCCTCACCCACACACTGCACCCCTCACACACATACATGGAACCTCTCATACACATTACACCCCTCATACGCACTGCATCCCCTTTAGAGTCTGCAGTTCTTGAGGAGTTCAGTGTCTACCAGGGGTGCAATGTGTGAGAGTGTGCAATAACTTTACATGCGGTCCTCGGATAAATCTTGTATTTTTAATGTGGTCCTCGTGTTACCTAAGGTTGGACAGCCCTGAACTAAGTAATACACCATAAAACTGAGTTAACTCTTAGCCTTGTGTGTCCTAAAGAACCCTCAGAGCACCATAACCACTACAGCATGCAGCACAAAATTAACAAAATTAAGAAACAACTGTCAAAAATAGCTTTACCAAAAGATGCACTAAAAATGTCAGAATAAAATGTCAGTTGATTTAATCATTTGAAGATGACCTTTGTTATGAGATGGTTAATTAACAGCATAATGTGAAAGAAAAAATGTTTTTTTATTATTAGAACATAATTAACAATATATGATTTGTGTCTTTGTAAATATTAACAGTTTGAGCTCCGGACGGACATGCAAAGCTTACTTTATTATCCCCCCGTAGTTAGGCCTTGTTATCATGACAGTGATGGATTAACCCTTTAACATAAATTAAAAGCTATATGGCAAAACATGTTTTTTAAGGTCAATATTCCAGTGTAGCTTGTATTTAATTAGAATGTATCATTCTTCAGAAATGTGCTACGGCTATTTTTTAAATACATGTTTCTGTCTGCACTATCTTTCATTAGATATACATTGAATCTACTTTATTGTGATAGATGTTGAAGCTGTGTAGCTTGCACAAAATAAGTCTTTTTCCTGTTGTCCTTCAATTTTTTTTTTTATTGCCTGGAGAACTGATTATTAGACACATCCTTTTCCTGCCCTGTGGTTTGAGGAGACAAATGGAGTGGTGTTATCTGATAATTAGCATGTGATGCTTGCTCAAACTGAAATATTAACAAGTGGTATAGCAAATCATAAAAAATATTAGATACCAGTGTCCCAGGAAGACACAAGAGTTAATAAAAGAAACACAACACAAGATGAAAATATCATTTATAAATAATCATATTCATAAAAATTTTAACCATTTGCAAAACATTAAATTATTGTATCCAAATTGCCAATCCAAATTCTCAATTCAGAGGCAGATTTGGGATTTTAGTCTTCCTGCTTTTTAACAACGAACCAAAACAAAAATGAATAATTCAGCCTTGAGCACTCATGGGTAAATTGCTAACGTAAATAAATATAGAAATCAGGGTCGCCATCAGAAATTGTGGGGCCCCTAGCATAGCTCAAGGTCTGGGCCCCCGGGTACCCGCCTCCAAGCCCCGCCTCCAAATCCCGCCCACAGGAATACACACACACACAGACACAAAAGGACACAGACACAAACAGGAAGATACACACATACTAACAGACACAAATACTGAAACAAACATACACACATATAGACACAGATACAGATACACACACACACACTGACACACACACTGACGTACATACATACATACATACAGACAAACTGACATACATACACATAAATACATACTGACATACATACTGATATACATACATACACACACACACAGATACATACAGACATACTCACACACAGACATGCATACTGATAGATATATACATACACACACACACACATACATACTGACATACACACACACACACACACACAGACATACATGCATACTGACATACATTCATACATACATACTGACATACACACATACAGATAGATAGACACGTACACACACACAGACATACATGCATACTGACATACATTCATACATACACACACACACACACACACACAGACATACATACTGACATACACACACACACACACACACAGACATATACACACAGACATACACACACAGACATGCATACTGACATACATACACACATACATACTGACATACATACTGACACACACACAGACATATATACATACTGACATACATACAGACATATATACATACTGACATACACACATACATATATACATACTGATATACACACATACATACAGACATACTGACATACACACATACATGCATACTGACATACATACAGACATATATACATACTGACATACACACACACACACAGACACACAGACATACACAGACATACATGCATACTGACATACATACAGACATATATACATACTGACATACACACAGACACAAAGACATGCGCAGACATACATGCATACTGACATACATACAGACATATATACATACTGACATGTACACACACACAGACATACACAAGCATACTGACATACATACAGACATATATACATACTGACATAGACACACACACACACACACACAGACATGCATACTGACATTCATGCAGACATATATACATACTGACATACACACACACACACACATAGACATACACAGACATACATACACACATACATACTGACACACACACAGACATACATACAGACATATACACACACACTTCATTTAACAGCCACCCTCCTCTTACCTTTAAGTTGCAGGAGGGTGGCTGGGGATGATGGGAGTGGATGCCTCTGGTGTCATCTGCTCTCCCCCTTCTCCGCTCTCCACTCTCCTCCCGCGTGGAGGAAGTTGGGAGGAAGTGACCATCCGTCACTTCCTCCCAGCAGCACTTGCGGTGTAGCCGCAATTTTTTTTTTTAAAGATATAGGGCCCATTGGGTGGCCCTAAATGCTTGGGCCACCTGATGGGCCCCGGGGCAGATGCACCTGCGGTAGTTTTGCCACTCTATGTGGGGCCCGGACGGCTGGGCCCCCCAGGGCCGCCAGGCCCGTGACAACCATCATGGTTGTCACCCCCTGATGGCGGCCCTGATAGAAATTAATATAATGTAGTGGGTCTTCAGAGCCCCATTGTAACGAGGGGGAGCCGTTTTCCTTGTTCACCTTATCTAGGGGTGGCTAAGCTTAGAAAAATGAGGACCTGACAATAAACCCCTCCATACCAAATGTATTGAGGTGGAAACAGTGCAAAAGGATTAAAGAACCCCAGGACCTCCCAATCGTACATTTTCTGGATGTCAGGTTATTCCAGCTTTCCATGTCAACAGGGAATGGGTTAGTGTTTCGGGAAAGTAGACATGAAACACGTGCCCTGCTACATCTTGTTCTGTGGAATGGAGTGTGTAATCAGGTTCATGTTAAGGGCTTCTGGGACCACGATATGTCAGAAAGGAACCCTGGGCTCCCTCCTATCTCCAGAAAGAACAAAAGGTGTTTAAATTTGTGAATTTACATCACTGCATCATAGGTGCAAGGCATGAAGGGTATTTATCAATGTGTTCTGAAAAGTGATGGCTAAAACCAAACATTCTTTAGATTGTATTTATTAAAGTGGCCTAAAAAGTTACATAACATTTTCTTTTAGTTACATTTACATACAGTAGAAGCATCGTGGTGGCCTGACCATGATCTTTGGTCTCACTGGTCACCTCTTCCCCTCTCTACACAAGCGTTGGTCCTGCAGCATCTGGCTTGGGAGATCTCCCCTCTTGGTGTCGACCCTACAGCAGGAGAATAAGCAGGCCATTGAGATAGATCTTTGATTGTTTCACAAGCAATGTCACTTTAACGCCGTGGC